ATGTCTCTTCCCACATGTCAAATGTTATCCGTACGAATGCCTTCTTGGCAACCCTAGAAACATTTTGATGGACAGGCGTAGGCGTATGCATATACTCAGTCATTACCATGGGTTCTGAACAAAAACCCTTCCTAATAACAAGCATTACGAGCAACCTTTTTTTTACCTATCCAGCCCGCAAGCGCGATCCCCATGCTTAAGGTTTGATGCCACCCTACGGGACCTGCAGCTACCCTCTCGGATACCCTTACACGGCATCTTCCCCGATGCTTCAGACGGACCAATCGCCCGGCCTGCTGTCATTGCTAGAGCCTAGAGTGTGCTGAGCCACCTGAAGATTGAATCGAGTCTATCCTTACCTTGGTGTGATAGCCTGGGGAAGAGAGAAAAAATTGCACGCGGAGACTCCCTCTGCATTGTGCAAGAGGAAAAGGGGTTGCCTTTCCACCTTCCCCGTCGAGGAGACACCCGCCCCTAGACTGCCTTGGGTGGTAGCTCGCTTAGATGTCTCGTCGCTTGGTACCGCTCGGTACCGCTCGGTACGTACCTCGCACCATCCACATGATGGTTGACTGTGGAAGGTAAGGTACCTTTGTACTATGGAATTGCAATGTACTTTGTAGATGAAGCTGCTTCCTTTACACCTCACCGTTGACATTCAGCTTCTCTCCGAATACCCAGTCGTTCCCACCATCCTCACCGAGCCGAACATGACGAGAGAACCCATACGGGCCTTGGCAGTCCTGATTATCTGTCACTCTGCGTAGGGCGAGGACGCTACTCAAGCATCGAGTGGCCTACCTACCTGAAGGCTGATCGCCCATGTCCTCTTCGCTTCGCGCCGCGCCACCCCAGAACTCTCTCACTTGTACGTATCTGATAGGTAGGTACAGAGGTACCTCACTACTTCTCTCTCTGGGCTCTCCCTCTCCCTCTCCCTCTCCCTCTCCCTCTCCCTCTCCTCCGTTTCGGATCCGGGTGCGGTGCCTCATCAACGACAAACCATCGCCTGTCTCAGCCTAGAAACCGAGGGACTTTTCATCCAGGGAAAACTGGGTTGCGTTGGTGCACGTTGACGACACTTGCGTTATTAAGCAGCATTTTCCCTGCACATCACTGCTAATTATCCAAAAGTGCTCCGTCGTCCGACTCTTCAATGCAACGCAACCCCAGAGTAACTGCGGCGTCGACCGGTCCGTTGCGACTCTTTGGAAGCATAACCACATCTGCCAACCATGCCAACCTCATGCTGTCCAACTGTCAACATGCACTGCACTTGGTTGGCGCTGTCTATGAATACCTACTCCGTACATACCTCGGTGCCGCCACATGTAGTCGCAGAATACGCCGACGCCGCCGAGATGAGGGTCCCAGATGGAATGGAATGCCCTGGGCCTGGTGGCGGCCTTCCTTCTTGCTTACGGGCGGCTTTCCATCATCACCCTAGCCAAGATCTTCCCTCGCCTCGAGCTCGACAGTGCAGACACCAAAAGTTCCTCTCAAGGATTTCTCAACTACGGATACTGTATCTTGCCACCATGAGGCAAATAGGGGGAAATAATGCTCCTATGGCACCTCGTTTACGACTGCAAAACTGCAGAGGCCAAGACCTTCGGCCGGTCCCAATGACGGAGGATCCAACAACGGACGGGCAAGTCGGACTCGGAGCCACGGAAAACTCCCAGCTACCGACATCAAGAACGAATGGGGAGCAATCTATCCGTCCCCAACCGCAAGGATGGATGAACATGGACGCTAAACACTGAAGCGGGCCAGCGGCGCCATCACTAATGATTTTCGTTACGACACACAACCGACAAAGACCAACGACTGGCTCTAGCCTGCCTCTCTTTTCCCCCGGTTTGTTAGCGTCGATGCTACTGCCATTGACGGCTGGCTGGCGGGCTGTTACCGAGCCCGAAAATCACGTCTTGTTCTTGGTCTGTCTCGTCTTGCCAGTTGATCGCCAATCCAAGACTCTGAGAGGCTGCCAAATCCGCCGCCAAGACGAGAGTTTTGTCGGCAGGCACTCATCTTGGCCAAAGGCTCTGTCTGATTGCTGAATACCTATCACTGCGCCTGGCCAGTCATATGGTTGTTACTCTCCATTCTTCCCTCAGCGCTGCTCCGAGATATGCGCCTCAGATGTTCTCACAAAATCGAAATTAAGAGAGGATCTATGGGTTTGCAAATTGGCAACGGCCCCTCAGACCATACGATGACACAAGAACGCGAAGAAGAATCCGACTGAAGAATAAGAATGGTTGATGTCGTTTGTTACAGCACTTGAAAACACGATACATGTGCAGATTTTGTGCATGGTTCGGCAAGCCTCGGTGCGGAATTCCTTCTCTTGAGCTCCATTTTCACGCCGAACTGAGCTACTCTCTGCCCTCGCTGCACGCTGCGCTGCCGGCTGCAGGCCAGCTCAGGTCCGGTCCAGATCTTCGCAGCCCCCGTACCGTCACAGTGTACCCAGGGGGATGGGATCCGCCTAATGAAGACATGCCGGACTCGTCTTATTAGCCTCTGCTATCGCTGCAGGGGATCCAACCTTGTCGTCATGAAGCCCGCAAGGACGTTGTAAGAACTACTTTAGTCCCTCCCAAGACAGGCAGGTAGGTACTTTTGCGCCACAGACTCCCACGCCGGATGGTCAAGTACCTTTTCCTTCTTCTCAGTTCTCACCAGTCCGCCCATTGCTTCATTGCGGTTGATGACCCGGTGTCGTGTCAACTAGAGAAAAGAAGAAGGCTAGCGGACCAGCAACTCTATCCGATGCACAAACTGCACAGCGCTTGGATAAACCCAACTCCCCGACATAATATATCTGTGCTGGGATTGGGCCGATTCACCCAGAGTTCATCCAAAGTCTACCGGACAATCATCAATCATACTTTATACCTACGAGAATCCGTATGTACAACACGAACATCCTATATGTGTATTGACAAACGCGGCCAACCCAATTACATACCTACTTTGCCTCTTCCTCATTTTCACAATCTTAGGCCTGACGTGATGGGTATCTGTTAGAGACCAAACCCCGCGCGGAGATCCACAGCCACCTCTCTTGGAATGAACCAACAACCGACACACCGTTCTCGTTATTTCCTTTTCTCGCCCGGCAGTCCGAGCCTATCTCGTTACGTCCATGCCGCCATCTGGGCTCATCCTGGGTGGGGCATCATCAGGAAATATTGACCCTCATCGTGCATCCTTCAGACGTCCAACACGCAAAACAACGAAGAATGACACGAAGCACTCGCCGCCGCCGCTGCAGTGCATCGGCCCCGGTTTAGCCAATATCCATAGTCTGGCAATCTTGTCTAGCTTCACGTGTCTTTTGCCTTTTATAATTTGTCTTTACAATGAGCAGAGGCAATTCAAGACATCCGAAACCAAGATGCTCAAGGGAGTCATGAACTTCTTCGTCCTGCTCCGAAAACCATCACTTCTTCTCTTTTGGTCCATATATTCGTGAACACTTCTGCTTGGAGGATTCATGTCCTCATTCCAGTACAAAGTATGGTACTCTCTGTCACGTCGTTGCCAGAATTTGCACCCTCGTCAGACCTTGACCAAGCCTCGCACGTTGTCGCCTTCGCTGCCTCCCCCGTCTTATTCTTCCCGTGCCCCCCTCCCCCCCCCCGGCTTCCAAGGATCCCCAAAGCAAAACCCCCCTACCACCTCTCAATCATCCCTGACCAACCCTCCAAGAGCGTCTATGTACCGGGAGCTCTCCCTTCGCGGCTTCTTTCTTCTCTGCTTCGCATGTCACCCCTCTGCTGCAACTCACCCCCCATCATCCACTCTCTCCTGGACCCTGGTAAACATGCAGCCAGGGTTCCCTCATCGAGCATAACTTGACCCAACTGCCCCATTTTACCATCGCTGTTCCTTATTGCGCTGCAACGCTAGGTACAGGCCCTATCCGTCAGACTAATGCCATGAGGGAATGCCAGCTGTGTCTCCCTTCGAGATACGTACTCTACACTGTGGTGTAGGTATGAATACACCACAAAGTACGTGGTCCGGAGAGATGTACAGAGAGAAAGAGAGAGACTCGTCTTCCCTCTCGCAACCATCGACGAGACCACTGTCCCACGCCATGCCGTCGGTGCCGACGAGACGCTAAGTCGGATTAGCTTGGCTTTTAACCCCCCATCCATGATCCTAGCCAAGCCGAAAAGATGGCGGAGACACGGGCAAGGGTCATGGAAGACGCACCGCACGTGTGTGCGCCTAGAACGAACGGTACTTCCTACCCGTCGTGTACACTTGCAGCACTCTATCGGTGCCCCTTCCGGCTCCCTTCCCCAATCTAACGAGCCAAGCCAATCCAGTCTGTTGGTCCTGTTCCTTAGTGTCTCCTTTGGGCCCCTCGGTTTATTTCACTCGCAGCTCGTTACGATGAGTGTGGCCGAAGGGGGGCAACTGGGGAACAGCTCCCGTGAACGTATATACATTTGGGTGGTCAATAGGATGTACATACCTTGAGGCGCTCTCCGCGCCTGCCCTACTGCTCAAAAAGCCACCCGGCTCCATTACTCCGTTATATCCTACCCTCACTCGCCCTCTTCTTCCTCCTTCCGTCCTACTTGTCTCTCCTTGAACGACCAGTCAACCACGTCCAAGTTTGATCGGATACCGTTGCCGACAAGAGACGTGAAGCACTTCTCAAATCAACCGTCTCATCGATCTCGCCATATCACCGACACTCCGCATTCCTGTACGAGCATCTTTGACGACCTTTCGGTTATTGGACTCCTCTCTCTCAAGCCACCCCGGACGTGGCATAAAACCTTAATACCAGCTGTGTGCCAGCCCGGTTTTGTTAGCTTGAATCTTGACCTGAGCAATATAACCTGCCCGTGCCTTCTCCCGGCTTTGCTGTTTGCCTGTCGAGGCCGTGAACTTCGACTCAACTGCATCCCGAGGTGCTCAAGGTCGCCAATGCCAAACGGCTCTCCCATCTACGGCATCAATTCGCCTTCTCAATGGGTATACTAGCTCTGGAACCTCATCCCCGTTTGGCCGCCCCAGACTCTCCGCCCGGGCTGGTTAGCCCATCATCATCATCTTACTCCTCCAGGCCATCTCCTCCTGCCGAAAAGCTCTGGGACGCCAGGTTTGGTCCCATATCCCCTGCCATGTCCAACTACGAACATGGCTCGGCGGCCGATGTGTCGACTGCCGGCAAAGGTGCTGAAGGCGGTTCGTCCCGTAAGGATTCGACACAAAGCGCTCCTCGCCAGCAACTGCCATCACTGAGCAGTCTGTTTGGACCTCCTCCACCACTCCGGCCGTTGCATTCTCCGCTGACCGAGCGGCCGGCCCCTTACCCGGCGACGTCTCCCTTGGACCGCCCGCGTATGCCGCAACCTCACAATGATCGCTCTTATGCCACATCGTACTTCCCGCCTCAGGAAAGCTCTCCAACGATGTCCCAGCCACGGAGTACCTACGATGCCAGGTACGACCACGAGAGGCAGGCCTTGCATGGCTTGTCCCGTTCCTTTTCCGGCCCTGGGTCACCGAGATACCGCGAATCCGAACATATGCGTCCCGAGTCGAGATCTGACGTCGGTTTGGGAAGCAAGTGGTCGATACATCATGACGCTGGAAAGCATGAGTACGCCTTGGTATCCAGAGAGAACCAACCCCCACTACGGGCTTCACATGACAGGATGTCCTACCAGTATTCCAGCAATAAAGACTCTGGCTCTTCTTACCGGGATCAGCGCTCCCCTTCTGGACCTGGTCTTTTGCAGGCATCGGCGTCTGCCAGTACAACGACCTCGGAAGGAATCCCATCGAAGGATGGTCTCGGCCCCAAGATATGGACGGGGAGTCACTTTCTCCCACGATTCGTTCGTGCCGCCGAAGTGCCGGGTGAAGGGATGTGTTATTTCTACGATGATGGAAGTCACTGCAAGACGGTTATTGATGGCGAGGCAGTCAACGCTCACTGGGGTGTCACAAAGGCAGGGAAGCCAAGGAAGAGACTGGCGATTGCGTGTGTCACCTGCAGGGAGAAGAAAATCAAGTGCGACCCTGACTATCCTCGCTGCGTTCAATGCGAGAAATTTGGCCGGATCTGCAAGTTCAAGAACGCGTAAGTGGTTTCAACAAGCAGCTCGCCATCTTTTCATTACTTTACTGACGTGGAGATGGCTTTTACAGACCACGAGGTGGCCACAACACCTCCCCATCAACGCCTCCTGCTGAACCAGAGGACTTGAGGCGTCTGGGAGGCTCGGCCAACTCGAACGACATGCACCGACCTGGGAGCAACTCCAGCGCGCCTGTTTCTCCTCGAACCACGTACCGTCAGCCCAGCCCAGAGCCCTCGATGCCTCACAAGAGGATGCGCCTCGGTTTCGACTCGTACCCCTCGATGCCGAGCGACTCTTCCGCCTTGGTGAGCCGGACGCTCGAGACGGCAAAGGTCAACGCCTGGCAACACCGCCAGCCAGTTGAGCTCCCTCGGATCCACGAGGACGTGCTTCACCGAGTATGGCAATCAGACCCGTAGGTTTCCGACCCGCAGTCAGTTAGCACCGTAATCTCCTCCTTCGTACACACGGACAGCACCATGGCCCTTTGTTTCTTGCCCAAGACACCGTTTCAATTCTAATTGACTGGTAATGCTCACACAAAGTCTCCAGAAGACCTGATGCTCACCTATAGCATCCTCGACGTTGGGATCACCTTGTCAGGTGGTCCAAGAACAATCGCCTCCGAATACGCTCAGTTCGCACGGTATGCGCAGCAACAGCTCCCACCCAGCCTTCAGCTTGCGCAATCTCGACTACTCCTGGCGGTCTATTACATGTCTACGTCTAGAGCCTGCGAAGCAAACGATTTGATCAGTGCGGCCATCTCGATAGACATATTCATCCGGTTACCATGCGAATCGGATGTGTTTCAAAGTCAACAGGCTTCTCAGGCACCTTTCTTTTCAGCGCTCGGTTCGAGCTCGTCTAAAATGGCGGATCAACGTTTACCCTTAACAGCCTACGTCCTCCAGCTAGTGGTCATCCGGGAAGACATCATGTCTAGCGTCTACAAGAATGAACACGGTCTAGTCTCGGATGGAGAGCCAGCAATAATTGTTGAAAGCTCCGTCAGAAGGCTACTCAGCTGGCGTGGATCAATTCCTGGACAGTTGACCTACAGCCCAAGCAATATGGACCTGGCTGCTCAGGCTGGGAGCCTCAGCACATTCCTTACGATTCATCTTCTGTTCCACCACGGTCTCGTAAAGGTTCACCGACACTCGTACGCCTCAAGCCGAATCTCGGCAGCAAAACGGATGTCATACCTCTCGAGGATCCAAGAGGAAGCTAAACAGGTACTGCAGATCACGGGCATGTTGAAAGCACTACTCCAAGCTCGGCGAACCCTACTGAGCGCGCCTCCTCCATTCATGAGCCATGTGATACTGGAGGCTGCCGACGTTCTCACTGCCCAGGGTTTATTATCAGACCTTCCTATGCTTTTGGATCAATTGGCCGTTGCAAACGCGATAGTCGAAGCTGCAAGTATGGTTTGGGACGAGGCACGAATTCATCGGGCCGCACTGGAACATCGACACGACGCTCTACGTCTTCTGCAAGATCTTCAGCCCGGAGCAACACCATCGGTTGGCGCAGCAGTGTTCGCCAACGGAAACGAGGGCAAATGCTGGTAAATGAAGGATGCGATGGACACGACATACTGGCCTATCGCGGACAGTGTTTACACGCGGGGCTGAAAGACATACTTCCGCAACCATGGTTGCCATTTCTGTCATTTTCAAATTTGCATTGCATTTCACGGAGTTGGAGGGCGCATTTGGACAATTGCAATTTTTCTGCTTTTAACCCGAGATCGGAGAGACTGTTAACAGTACGGCTGTATATGCAGACAGTTGCTCTCGTTCATCTATGTAACATTATATACCCTGTATATGAGGATATCAATCCAAGGAAACAACGCAACGGCCGAGCGCAGCCGAGAAGAGGAACAGGACGTGTGCCCCATGTGGTTGAGAGAATATTGGCAGGCAGCCTATGGAGGACACCCTAGGCAACATGACATGTAAACACGATACCTACAGTATGTAGACGAAAGAGGGGCGATGAGAAGACACCACCCAAGCACTTTGGCCGAACCACGCACACAGTCTCCATCTTGTTCTGCCCTATGTCATCCCTTTGTACCGTGAACACTGCAGAATGGGGGAGGGATCGGTCTGCATGTCTCAGGTCAGTCGCATGATTGGCATGCGGAAGGCGGCATGCGGTATGTGTCGGCTCGGCTTCTCAACGGTGCGTCTAAATCCCGGGATGCAACTCTACCTCAGGTACTTGACCATGATCAGCGGTAGACAGGAGCTGGGGCTGAGAAAGAGGGCGGTCTCAGCCTACACCACACGAGTAGGGTCAGCAAAGAGAGAGGAAAGACGACGGGGGCTGATGACGGCGGTCCTTTTTTTTTTTTTTTTTTTTTTGCCACAACTCTCTGCAAAGTTTTTGTAACCTCGATCAACCTTCACTTGCACGTTCAACGGAACCTTGTCTAGTTTTGATCCTGCCTACGGATACCTGAGCTAGTTCTTGGCGAACAAAAAGTCGTTGGAGCGGAACCGCGAGCGAACCAACGACGACCTGAATCGGGTTGTCGGACCGGTGAGGCGGAACCACACACCGGTCGTGGAGACGACCACCACCACCGCCAGCTCCTGCTGATGGTGCAGAAAATACCTTAGCACGCAGATTCTGAAGCAAGTATGTACGCAGTACGTTGTTGCCCCTCGGCATCCCTCAGTGGAGAGTCCAATCTCGCGGTGCTGCACGAAAGCAGATACGACATGCAATGCAATGCGGTGTCTCTCTTTTTTTTTCTTTCCTTCTCCCCTTCGCTGTTGGTCTCGTCTCGGTACATACAACTCTGCAGATGTGCAGATTTTACTAGAGAGAAATAGGAAGAAAAGAAGGAGGAAAAGTGCCAAACAACTCAAAGTCTCAATCACCATTGCCCCATCCTACCCCTCCCTTTTTGTTTTTCTTCTTTTCTTCCCGTACCCTTGGCTTTTAGCCTGCTGGATCTTGGGGGAGGGATCGGTTACTTTTCTGCATTTTTTTCCATCTCATCTTCTTCTTTGCATCTTTGCTTTCTCGTCCCCCCTGTACAGAGTACTTGCAGTTGCTGTTCTGTTGAATTTTCTGCATGGGTACCGTACGCGGAGGGCTTGGATAGGCGCGGAAGACGAGAGTCGTCGAGGGGTCTTGCCAGGTCAACGGTATCTGTACCCTTACTGTCTGCACGTATGGAGTACATGTTCACTTACAGGAAGATGAGTGATGGTAATCAGGAAGGGGAGAGAGAAAAGCGGCTTTTGAGAGAGAGGGTGTGTGTGCTGTTCCCTCCTCCCATCGTCTCTCCCAAGTTCTTAGCCCCCTCCCTCCATCTCATCCCATCCATTTATTTCATGATCCTAGTGGGCCATGCCATCCACGGACCACAACACACATTCCACCCTGACTTGCTCAGTTGGTCGCTCCCTACTTTAAAACTCCCGCTTCCCGAAAAGAGCCGCACAATGATTTGATTTCGCCCGGTTCTGGTAGTTTGTGTCTTGCCCTTGCGATTTCCCATGTCTCAATCCCCCACTCCGCTTCCCCCCCCCCCCCTTCCCATACCTGCCTGCCGGCTTATAAGACATGGTCTCGGAAGCTTGGGCCATGATGTGCAGAGGTGCCAGAGTCAAGTCAGACACGGACACGGGGGATGGGAATAACCGGATCTGAGATCTCTCACACCGAGCTACGGATAATCCGCTGTTATTTAGGTAGTTGAACGGATACGGATCTTATCTATATTCGTATACTTTCAGTGGGCGCGTCATTCTTTTCGTGAGCCGTCTATCAATAGGTTGATTGCGAATTCTCCGCTCCTCGTGTCGCGATCGCCAAGCTTTTGGGGGCACACTGGGCTAGATGCCGTTGACTTCCGGGCCGTGGACTGGACGACGGGACAATCATGAGCCTTTTGCCGCTTTATACAGTGCGCCGACGGTTTTGCTGGTATTTACTATTTCCTAGTCTAGGTCGGAGAAAGTCCTCTTGAACGGTTGCGCTCCAGTCGGGTGAGATTTGCATTCACTCCGGGAGCGATACCCGGTCGTTGTAGCTGGTCATGGTCGGTGAAATCGAGATTGAGATTTGAGATTGAGAGAGAAAACATGAGTTGTTCTTCGGCATCCCGTCGTTTAACAAGAGTGCATGTTCAGGTCCAGCCCCCGGACCCCCCAGCCTAATTCGGGGTTTTTGAATGAGATGCCGGGTAAATGTGCGCTGGATTGATGGGAGGCTGGCTCTGGTATTCAATGTCCGACCAACTGTTTTCACAATGAGGCCCTGTTTTGCCCATTTTCTCTGCGTCTGTGTCTGTCCGGTCTCCCACATTACCACGCCCCGGTCGTGGAGTCGTGGAATCCCTGAATATGGGCGGATAGAAAGTCAAATAGGTTCCATGGATTCAGGCCAGGGGTGAAGGGTTTCCCGCGCGCTATACGGACACTACTTAGTGTACGGAGCACAAGAAACCTGGAAAGCTACCTACCCATTTTCTGCCCGTGCGCTGCTCGTTTGTCTTTCACTCAATCGGTTTCCCGCCCGAACTCGGTAAGGCCCTCTTAGGACGGTACGAAGTACTCCGTACATGGACGATGGAAGGATCATGGTGTAATCCGAATTTCGGCTCCGAGGCGGATGAACTACCCTTGACGGGGGCCCGTTTGCGTTTTTGCTTACCTCACCCTCCTCCGGGCCTCGGGACTGACGACCTTCGGAGTTCACCCCCCCCCCCCCCCTTCTCACCCCCTGGAAACGGGCAGACGGGGTTCGGATACGGAAATTTGCTTTCACGTGCAAAGCCGCATACGACAGCGAGAGATATGTAGTATCGTAGAATAGAGAAGCTGTGTCCGTAGCGGAATGATAGGGATGTGTCAGCCGGACATAAACTTTTACAGCACCGGCCGGCCGGCGATACCCGTTCTCGAGAAGCAGGAAAACATCGGGGAACGTGGGGACTTTACAGGCCAAGGTACCTATCCGTACATGCATAGTACATCGGTACTGGACAGGTGGTGGGCTCTCCATCTCCCCGCCGGCTATCGGCCGCGCCAGTGAGAAATGAGGGATTACCTAACATTACCATTTTACTATGCATTACGGTGTAGAAGCCCACCAACAAGAGAAGTGATCAGACAGCCGCATGAATCGCATCGCTACGCGGGCGCCACAGAATTGGAAAATCCCCGCCGGGGGTTTCGGGTAGCCTTTTCGAGGTGTCCCGGTCTCTCTCACTCCCGCTCGGCGCCGGGGCCAAGGTCCGCAGCGAGCGCCGAGGGGGGCTTGAACTTTTCTGAGTGAATCAACTACCGAGAGAGAGATATGGATACCTGTCTGCAATTGCCAATTACCAATCTGCGCCTCATCTTGCGAAGTTCGCACTCCCTCAACTCACCGGGGCACCTTTTTACGATCCCGCGGAAACTTGTCGTATTGTTCATCGTATGGAGGTACTCGTGCATCTGATGAAAACTGACCCGTTTTTTTGTTCTCTCTTCCTGTTCGATTGGTGACGTCGATCGCGGCTCTGTGTCTGAGTGAGGTGTTGCGGACGCCACCCACCACCCCCTTCTGGTACACGCGCGCCCGGCATCTCGTCGGAATCCCGGCATAGTAAAAGAGTGCACACTTGGCATTGCATTGGCGAAGAGACGTATCCGGGTATCACATATCGAAAGGGACATGATGCATTCGATAGCGAGAGCCGCACCGCGTCTCACGCGAGGCCATCCCGCGGCGGCCATCTCATCCCCGTCAGTGTCGTCATCAACGTCATCGCTACCGACGCGGCGGCAGCAGCAGCGCACCTTCACTACCAGCGTGAGCTTCTGGTCATCTTCAGCATCGCCATCATCGTCCTCGTCCCCAAAGTCGAAGGCAAGGCCACAGGCAAGCAGGCCATCGGCGCCTCCGCCGCCGTTCGAGCTCGTCCCGACATGTCCGTCGCCGACGTGCGAGTGCGCCGCGACGCCGGCGATGCCCGAGGGCTTGGACATTGACTTCAAGAGCCCGCTCAACGGCGTCGTCTCGGGGTACGCCGAGCAGGTGCTCGTGTGCACGGGGCAGGACGATTGGGTGTCGAGGATCGAGGAGGAGAATAGCGGGGATAACCTCGCGGCGGATTTGAAGGAGTTGTTTGGCCGCGGGGGGAAGTATAGCGATGTAAGTTTTCTCTCGATGATTTTCTCATTCTTCTTCTATTTCCGTAGCTGCTGCTATGGGGCAGTTAGTACTTGGAACGCACGTACGAGTGTACGTGCCTCGTGGATTTCTGAGGCCCAGCACATTCTGGAGCGTCGTCAGTTATGTCTCTTGGTGCCGTAAAGATTCTTCCTTACGTCTCTCGTGGACCTTTATTCAAGATTGTGTGAGAACACCTTGGGCTGACGGTAAGTGAAACCTCCCGCCAAACCAACAGCCCTGGCACAACATCTCAACCCTAAACGCCTCTTTCCCCTCCTCCGTGCCCCAACGGAGCGAGCTGCAGACCACGAGCGCCTACCTCCTCCCGAGCTTCAAGTACGTGCCCTTCTTACCGCGCGTCAGCTTCGACAGCGTCCAGGCCCTCGCAAAGGGCTACCTGCTGCCCGAGAAGCTGCACAAGATGCACGACGGGAGCCTGTCGCCCGTCCACCGGGACCGGCTGACGCGCAAGGAGGCCTACCGGTCGCTGCTGTACGGGGTTCGGGACGTGGAGGAGGTGCTGGTTTTGATTTGCGGGCACGGCGGGCGGGATATGCGGTGCGGCGTCATGGGGCCCGTGTTGAGGGATGAGTTTGAGAGGAGGTTTGAGGGGGTTGGGGTTGGTGTGTTGAGGGGACCTGTTGTGGTCGATGAGAGTGGTGAGGGGGCTGGGAGGATTGCGGCGCCTGAGGCGTCTGAGGACGGTGAGAGGAGGTATCAGAAAATGTCGGCGAGGGTTGGGTTGATTAGCCATATTGGCGGGCACAAGTTTGCGGGGAATATCATTATCTATATCCCGCCCGGGCAGCTTATGGCTAATGGGGAGAAGCATCCTCTGGCCGGGAAGGGGATCTGGTATGGTCGGGTTGAGCCGAAGCACGTTGAGGGTATCGTCAACGAGACGGTTCTCGGGGGCCGAGTCGTTGCTGACATGTTTCGGGGTGGTATTGATGAGGATAGAAAGATCATCAGACTTTGATAGGGGGGATGTGTCTGCGTAGGGAAGCTGGCCGGGTGTAAGAGTTGCTTGTATCATAACATAGAGCGTGGGACATCTCCACGACGGCACAGGGGGGTTCATGATTTTCAGACTTGGTAGAGATTCAAGCACCCTAGATGTAGACTTTCTAGGTTCATATGAGAGACTTCAAGGGCAGAAACACCTTCATCATCATCAAGACTGCCTACGAGATACTCAGATGCTATATAACCAGGGCTCTCGGCCTCTTCTCCATACCTTCGCACAAAGATAGTTTTCTGGTTTCATTAAGGTAGAGGAAGACGCAGTTTCTTGCGCTCTGTGGCAGAGAGGTCGTTCTACTTGATGCCAGTTCTTGAGCCCAAGGTCGGTGGCTGCTATCGAGCAAGATCGAGGCGTCCTTCACGCTACGACACTCGTGCCCCGAACGTATTCGTGAGTGAACATTCTCTGGTAACTCCGTGAGGAGTGATTTGAGACTATGAAGGGTGATTTGAGACCGTAAAGGGTGGTGTGAGGCCATGAAGAGTGATGTAAGGTCATAAAGAGTGATGTGAGATCGTTCAATTAGCTTAAACTAATGACAACGATAAACTTCAGAGCCAATAGTAAGGTTTGACTTGCTCAAAAGCACAATCAGCCGGCAGCCAGCCTTTCAGAAATGTTACTCTAGGGCCATGGCGTTGAGAAAGAAAATGCTGACACGAACAAAAAACGTCGAGATCCTGCTACAATAAGCTCTAACGGGAAAAAATAACAGGAGAATACTAAGAAGCATAATGACTGTGAAAAAACATCAAGACTCTCTATCTAAAATGCAACTTTTCAGAACCACCTTCGCCTTCCCCCTATAGTACTCGTCCTTACGCACGTATTAGTGATTATAGAGTATCCTTTAACACCGAGAAGGGAGGAGTCAAGCTTTTGGACTTGAGGTTGTGGATGTCTGCTCAGCCCTCTGTCAGAGCTGCAAACTTTCACATATCACAAACGCCATTGATCAGTCGTCCGGTTCCAAGGCTTGCCAGTTCAATGGACAACAGATCGTTGCCCATATCAATCTATAGACGGGTTTTTATGCTCTCCTCGCGTGATTTGAGACCATGGCTGAGCTGGAATGAAAGATTCGGTGTGTGACCTCATAAGATCACTTACACCTACCTACAGCAGTATGAGAGCCAGATATCAAGTACCACATTCTCAGTACTTGATAGAAGGCTCCTGTGGAATCTCATTCGAACTAAAAGATCTGGGGCAGCGTCCTCCTCAGAAAATAGCACTCGCACAAGCTAGTCAGGGACGACAAAGAGATCATCCTGAGCGCCATCAATGTACCAACTTATGTGTCTTGCAGCTTGACGAAAGAGCAGCTATTCGAAATATCTGCATATTTCACCCTCTGTGGAGAAGCAAATTATTTGAAACGACTTCTACAAAGTTGCATACTTGAGTACCCCTTGCCTTGCGGGACCTGATGTGATTTCTGGTTTGAGGTCAACTTCACTTAGGATTTGTCCCAGTGCCCTGTGAAATCCAATAACGAAGTAGTTTACTACACCCGAAACTACCTGAACCAAGATTTCCATTCAATCAAGTGTTGACTACGTCAAAATAGTGTTGAACAAATATATCTATCGATAATAGGCGTGTAAGTGTTTCTTGACCGAAGTCAATCAAGCGACTCACGTGACCGTGCGCATCTCAGTTTCGCTCAGTGAAACTAGCCCACTTGTAGCTTTCATCATCGATTTTCGTCACCACCCATTGCACCTCTTTCTCGAAAGAGATTATTGGAGAAGCTACGCGCCAATTTATTCATAAAGCGTCTACTCCTAATCAGACCAGGTGGTGCCGAGAAACTGATGGGGGCTTCTACATTCATCTCTGCCGGCGGCGCGGCTCTCCGGCCGATTGCCAGGCGCTCACTCATCCATATCCGACCTCAGCTCCGTGCCACTCCGGCCGCCGCAGCTGCATCCCGGTCAACGACACTGGCAACAACTCCACTGTATCCGACACAGTACCCATCACGCCATTCTTCAGCCTGGACAATTCGGCGAATGACACCAACATCACCATCCGCACTCTCATCCTCAACAACAACGCGTTACCACCGCCTCAAATCCACGACACCTTCAGCCACAGCCCCCCAACCCTATCGGCCCTCCAAACGCAGGGCCAGAACCTTCATAAGCCCTCGCTACCTCCCCGTCCTCCTCCTCCTCGCAGTAGGCGGCATAGCATGGGATGCCCAATGGCTCTTCCCCTCCACCCCGCAATCCAACGACCCAGCCGAGCAAACAGCCCTCGGCCCAGCCCGCAAGTTCATCCTATTTGACGTCGTCGCCCGCGAGCAGGTCTCCCCGACCTCCTTCATCCTAACCCTCAAGGCACCGCCTTCGTCCCACAGCAGCAACGTCCCAAGCATATCCTCCCTCTGGGACATCTTCGACCTATGGTGCGTAGAGGTGAAGCAGCCTCAGATCCAGGTCGCGAGGGAGTATACGCCCCTCCCTCCCGTCCCGGGCTCCTCGTATGATGAGGACACTCTCCGCCTCTACGTTCGCGCCGTACGAGGGGGTGAAGTTTCAACATATCTGAGCCGTCTAGCACCCCCTTCCTCACCATCAGATGGCCCAGCAACAAAGGGCGATAAAGTCGAACTCCGCGGTCCACACGGCGAATTCGACCTCCGCTCCCGCCTGGGCAAACGAGGCGACCGCGTCGTGTTCCTCGCAGGCGGAACGGGCATCGCGAGCGCACTACAAGCCGCGCACGCCGTCCTCCCGCTCGCAGACGGACCGTCCATGACCATCTTCTGGGCCGTCAGGAGCCGCGATGAGATTCGAGAGCAGCTGGTCGGGGGGCATACCGTGCCGCCACAGGTGAAGCCGTCGTCATCGTCGTCGTCGGGAAGCTGGTGGAATCCCTTCTCTTCATCATCGACAAACACCCCCGGATCCCAGGCCGAGGCCCTCCTCTCCGCAGATACACTCGCCGCCCCCTCGCCTATAAGCAGGGACCTCCTCGCCCTCAAAGTGAAATACGGCGACAAGCTCGACGTCCGCGTGGTAGTAGACCAAGAAGGCACCGCCGTCCGCGAAGCAGACCTCTCCGCCGCGCTCACTCCCCAATCCTCCCCCACGACTTCTGCTGGTACAACGCCGACACACGCCGTTGAAGGCTGCAGATTCCACTCTCAGACAGCACACGTCGGCATGGTCGACGGCGCGCCCAACGCCGGGAAGAGAAGCCTTTTCAAGCAGGACGACTGCGCTTGCTCCGCCGACGACGCCGCGCCGCGGGGAAAGAACGTCTTTGTGGTTTCCGGGCCCGAGGGTTTCGTCCAGGCGTACGCTGGCGCCAAGCTGTGGCGGGACGGCGGGCAGCTGCAAGGGCCTGTGGGGGGTAAGTTGGGCGCGATGCAGAGGCGGAACCCGGATATCTTGAAGGACTGGATTGTTCTCAAGTTGTAGGAGTAAAAAACTCACCAGGGTGAGGGGTTTCATTTCTCATCTCATAGAGCGAAGCCATGTAAAACACACCGAGGCAAAAAGAAGGGAGCAGGACGTTGCCCAATAAACTCAAGTTTCGATAACGCTGTCTAATTCTTCTGGGCTGTCGATAGTTCCATCCAAATAATGCCGTACAAACTTGGGAAAGAACAGTTTCCCAGGTCCCCCCGTCAAACTCCGCCTAATAATGCAAAAACCGCAGCGGCCGTTCCCTTTGAATGGCCGCGGATCCGTTCGCTGACACCGATCCCAGACGCCCTAACACAGAGCTTTGAAGATAGATACAAAGAAGATCTCATACAACAATGATAACTAAACACGCTAATGTCTACGTGCTCTGCACTTTTCTATACGAGGGCGGCTTCATCGTCCTCCTGATGAGCTTCACCGCATAGGGTGGGATGAGAGATATCGCCGCGATGGCGAGGACGCGCCAGATGAATCCCCTGCATCGTGTCAGTCTACGGAGTTCTGATGAAGCATGGACGCAAGTAGACTTACAAAGTGATGATGAACTGGAGATCAAAGTAACCGCCAAGGAACGGCACGGAGCCGACATAAATCAGAAACGTGCCAACAATGGAGATGATCATGGCAGGGTGCCACGTCGTGATCTCGATGGCGACCATGAGAAGCTCATTGAGAACTAGTACGGTGTACGAGACCGCCACCATCTTGGGTCCGTCGACTTCGGTCAAGAGCTGTGACAGACCTTGGATAGTACAGCCTTGATAGATCGAAACAGCAACCCAGACGAAAAAGGTACGATAAGACAGGGAACGGCCGGAAGTGAGCTCTTTGTACAGTTCCGGGTACAAGTTTGCCAAGTTTTCGTCCACATCCTTATCAAGGACAAGAGAGAGAACGGGGAATGCAGTATACACGGTAGAGTAGCCGACGAGAAGCCAATCCTACAAGTAGACGTTAGCAAAAGAAATGGATGTGCGCAACCAGAAGAAGTTGGCATACCTTGTAGAGACCATCGGGCTCGAACTTGATGGCAATACTGTACATTGTCTGGCAGACCGCAATGATCAATCCACGATGGATGACAAACTGAGCGAGCTTAGCACTGCGCTTGTAGCTGTTGCGCCCGTGCCAGACAAGCAATTTAGTCAGGTGGTAGAACTGCTCAATCGAGAAGTCTGCTGCCAAACTAGCTTGTCGACCTTCTTTGCCAACAATACCAACACCGACGTCTGCTGCTTGAATCATGGAAACATCGTTGCCTCCGTCACCAATACAGCACACCCTCTTCTTGGTGTACTCCCTAATCAGCTTGGCAACCTCGGCTTTCTGCGTGGGCGAGCACCGACATGCAACAACCGTCGGGAGTTGCACAGCGACGGAGACGAATTCGATCCTGAAGTGGGTGAGGAAGAGGGCCAGGCTCTCGCCGTCAATCAAGAGACAAGAATCCGTCTTGCCACGAAGGAAATCGAGGTGATCTTGCGCGTTATCCTTCTTCTTAAGCTTGGAAACTGTGTAGATGTACTGGCCACGAGCGACAAGCTTGGAGCTGACGGCGACGCATCGAGCTGTTTCGACCTTGTCACCAGTCAACATCCAAATCTTGATGCCTGCGTTTCTCAAAAGCTCCAAAGATGGCTTTACATCCTTTTGTAGCTTGTCCTCCACACCCGTGACGCCGAGAAGCTCCAGATCGCGCTCAAGGTATTGAGCCACAACACGTTGCATACCAGCGTCTCGTCCAGCGATAGCCAGAGAAGCTGCTTGATAGCTGCCGGTAAACTCCTTGTACTGCTCGTAAGACAAGCGCTTCCGACCAACCACAAGTGTACGCAGGCCCTCTCGAGCCATGTTAGAGGTTTCTTCGTCAAGCCAGTCGTTCTCAGCCACAATGGGGCTCATGACTGTGTCAGCACCCTTTTGATAGAACCAGATTTCGCTGTTGGCGAGGTTCGGCACCGTCGACTGAGTCTGATCGAAGAACTGAACAATGATGCCCATGCGCTTACCCTCGGAGGTGAAAGGGAAGACGTCAAGAATACGCACGCGCACAATCTCACGGCCGTTCTCCGTCGACTCAAGAATCATGCTGGTGCGATCTCGATAGGCGAGGCGAAGTCCGACAGATTCAGTCCAGCGAACGATGGCGATCTCGTCAGGGGAGGAAGCCTGGTAAGAAACGATGGTCTTTCCGTCTTCCTCCTCTGTTGTTGGCGTCACGTTGTGGCATAGAGCCAGAGCGAGAACCACATCTCGGACACGGGTGCCAATTTCTCTCCTTGTGCGAGTTGCACCCACGTTTGACGCGTTGGCAAATGTCGAAGAAGGCGTGATTAACATGGTGCGCGACGAAGGGTCGGTGGTAGGTTGAATGTGGAATCCTTGCTTGACGTATGATGTGACTTCATCCATGGCCTCGTTAGCATAGGAAACGGTGCCGACATGTATCTTCTTCATCTCCATCTCGTTTTGGGTCAGTGTGCCAGTTTTGTCACTGAGAAGATACTCAATTCTTCCTAGATCTTCCGGAATTGTACTCGTCCGTACAACAGCTCCAGCAATGCCGGGGTCTCGTTGAATGAACCAAGAGTAGGCGCTCTTGCCCATGTCGAGGTTGACGCGCAGACTAATGGGCACGATAGTCGAGAAAAGAATGAGGAATCGCATAATCTTGATATACCAAACATTCTGTTTGGTGTTTTCGAAACCTTCCAGCGCCACAAGGATGATAGAAAGCGCCAAAGTTAAAGCGCATAAAATCTTGGTAAGTGAGTTGATTTCGTACTCCAAAAGCCCGGTCTTGGATCGCGAGGGCGCAGTCGACAGCGCTGACCTCGTCTGAGGTCCCGTGTACATGATGACAGCAAGGGTAGTGGCGTTCGAGGCGATGACTGTGTTCGCCCAGGCCGTGTTGTCTATCGACAAAGGAGCCGAGTTGCCCTCATCTCCGTTGAGCGCGCCTTGCTGGCTTTGGGCATCACGTTTGCTGGGTAGCAGCTCGACGGTGCCAATAAACTCGTTGACCTTTCTGTCCGGCTTGCCCCCCGTTACCCGTAGGCGAACAAACTCCTCCGTTGTCAAGTTTTGCGTCAGGGGGGATGCCAGACGCAGCTTCCAATCCGTTTCTCCATCAAGTTGATCAGTTCGGATGAATGTTTCGCCAGCGGCACCACCGCCAGCATCGTTGCTCTCGGGTTCTTTCCCCTTGGTATCGGAAATCTGAGGCGCTTTCGACTGATCCTCCTCTGCGTCGACTAGCAACGACTCTTCTTCCGCGATCACCTCCATCACTGGCGCCTCTGTAGTTGTCTCCGACGTGATGCACTTCAGAATCACAACGTCGGCAGGAACTCGTTGACCCTTGCCTAGAACAAGGACATCGCCGACTTTCAGGTCGCGCGACTTACGGCTGAGCTCACGGACAGACGAGGATGGCTGGGCGATCGATCCCTCTCCCTCAGCACGTTCCTCTTCCTCTTGAATATCCGAAAGTCTGTCTCTCAGGCCCGCCGAATTCTTGCCCTTCTTCCTCATGGAATCCGACTTGAGCCTCCTGTGTGTCCGTTGTGCCGAAGCCATGCCACGACCCGGCTCATCGAAAGATAAGACGGTGTATGCCTCTGCATTGGCCTCGTTGTCTCGTCTTCGTCTTTCGATATCGTCGTATGCCTCCTTTCCCATGGTAATGAAGAGTACAAATGCCAAAGGCGCCACGTAAGTCGTAAGGTAACCAATCCGCAGTTGAGGGATTGCTTGCGACAAAGCCACAAGCAAGAAGTACATGTTGAAGAAGAAGGAGAACTCGTTATACAGAGTGACGGGCAGAAACGTAAGAGCTGTGTACTTGGCGTTCGATATAAGGTTCGGCGGAAATCTCGTCGCTTGGGAGGACCCTACGGCAATGAGGCGGGCGCTCGATGGATCGTCTTCATCTTGGTCCTGGGCATCGTCCTTGTCCGGTTCTTGCGCCCCTGAGTTTGACATGAAGCTCGGTAGTCTTATGCTTGAAGTGAGTCGCTCGAATCTGTCTCCGGCGAAGGATCGACGCCTCGGAGGCGAGCCGCCGGGTAGGAGAGGGGAGTCATCGTCGGAGCCTGCACCAGCGGAGCCATCCCTGTATCGTGATGAGGAGCTTCCGGGTTCGCCGAGAAGTGCTTCAGCATCCTCGCTGGTGCCATCACGGTCCTGGCCGAGTTGGCCATATCCCCTGGCCTTTTGTCCGGCTCGGCGTGAGCCCCCCATGCGTAGATTCCGCAGTGCTATACGTGGCGATCGATGTTCGGTGGTCTGGCGGTCGTGTCGGAGGAGACCAGAAGTGCGATCGGTTGTGGTTGTGGCAGGGTCGAGCTCCTGGATGTCGAGATCGAGGTCTGAATCGGAATCATTCCCTGGAGAGCCTGGCGGGTCCGCGGAACGATAGGAGGTTGGAGAAGGCATCCCGCCCGCATTGGGAGGAGGTATATGCAAAGAGCAACTTTTTAGGCAGATGCCGCAGCGCGGGAAGTCGTGATAGAGTTCGGTCGAGGGTGCCTGTGCTGTTGCTCGGAGAGCTGCATCGGATAGCTTCGGTAGGAAAGGGTAGGAGGATGGCGCGAGCGCTCAAGCGTTCGCAACGGAACGCTGTAATGTCCAGTCACGACGGTGGTGTTGAGAATTTGCGATGAACAGGTTTGGCGTCGAAGGGTCGTGGTGTTTAGGACAAGTAAGGTACACAGTTGTCGCAAGCATGCCGAGAGAGGCTTGGAGTCTTGGAGGCTTAGAGGCGTGGATGAGGTCGCCTGGAAAGGCTGAGCCGATCTCATTGGGCGGGTGCTGTCCGGGCAGTATCCAGTTTTCAGTAAGTATTCCAGGGGTGACACGGGGGGCACTTTAAGTGACGGAGGCAGCCGCGTGGCCTTTAGTGCACTGTAAATTCGCTGCCCGAATACCCCCGGGGCCGTGAGCAAACGGTCTTCACTGATAAAGTAGATGTGGTGGCCGCGGGTGCGGATGTAAGCTGTGGCTGACCCTCCTTCTAGCGGGGAGCAGTTCATCTCACAGATCGCAACAAAGTATCTATCTTATTTCGTATGTAAGGATAGGCCCCCTTGGGTTTCCTGAAGGGACACGGGCTGAATACTCTGGTAAGTTGGGAGGGCAGCTCGCATGTTTGATGTAAAAACATTTCCTGGCTGAGTCTTTTTTCACCTCGTGTTTCTTTCTTCTAAAGTCGTCTCGGGATTCTTCATACTTCCCCTTGCTATACTGACACATGTAGGTTATGTCTCCTCTTTAAAAACGGTTCCCTAGTGAATTGGTGACACATTCCATTCCAGACTGGCCACCTCTATTCATTGACATGGAAACGGTGCCTCGGAACGATGATCAATGCCACCTCAGTCACCACTTGTGTCATTGTCAGACTGTCAGTGCCGCACCCGGAGGATCCTCGGGTCTCTGATGTGGCCGCAAGCCCGCGCAGTTAGGTATTCGACTGAACCTCTGAGGCGGCCCCTTTTGAAGGCGGAATGACGGAATCGGCCCCGATTCTGGACCTGTGACTGGGTGGATCATTCCAGCAATGGAGGACAGCACTGAGGTGACGGACTCGTGGATTTTTTTTAGGAGCAGCCTTTTCCGTACAGATACATCGGTACCTATCGAACCTTGAAGACATGCATGTACCTTGCCACGTTGGACACACCTAGAACTACATGCCACATTTACCGAGCTAGACCACCTATACCTTCATCGTACCTGCCAGCTTGCAGTTGCACCTTGAGCCACGGCCACCTCATGCTTCTTCATGCCTTTTGGCTCATTAGACTTTCTTCCCCCTCTAGCAAAAAAACCACCTTTGCATCTGTAATCCTCACCTTCGACCCACTGACTCTGAAGCTCACTATGGAGTTTGTCGTTGTGTATTCTATCTAGACCTCTGCTTCTCTTGTACATGTAGGTTCCGCTCCCTCCTTCTCGGCTTCTCTACCTAACCCTTACGTTCAACTTGTCCCCCTGGCCTCGTCGTCGCGTTATGCGACGCCAATCCCCTGGACTCGCGCATCGTGTCTCGTGCTGACCACCAACAACCCAGCTGTTTCCCCGAGCCTTCGATCTAGCCACATCGCAAATCCGCATGATTCGACCTAATTAGATAAATACCATGGATTCCACCGCGAACGCCTCCTGGCATCCGGCTTTCATGCCCAATGATGCTAGTGGCCATGCAACTACAGAAACTCAGGTTTCCTCGAGCGCAGAAACCCACGATTCACCATCGGCGACTCCTCTTCACAGCCAGCTTGCTGAAAATGTCCAGCCTACACCCCTACCGCAAGCGACACAGCTGGAAAGCAAGCCAGAGAAACAAAGCAGCCCTTGGCTCGCCGAGGACGATAGCCAAGACGCTTCGGATGATTGGCCTGTCTTCGAGAGACCAGTGTCAGATGCCCCGGCCGAGAGCGACGACGGCCCCAATGATGCTTTAACTTCGACCACAGCTGCCGAACCAGAACCGAACTCGTTTCCCTCTACCGAACCAGTCAACGACATTGCTCCGCAGCCGCAAGCTGTTGCCGACGAAGCCAAGCCATCCGCACCCATTTTGGGCCATACCAGTACCAACTCCTTCACTCGAACTGTCTCCCACGAGGTCAACTGGGACGACGACCATGATACGGAATGGACTCTGTCCCGAACCGACACTGATCCTTTCAAGTTCATGCCACCGAACGAAAGAACAAACTCATTCCCGCCTGTTCCGCCTGCCAGCGGAGTATCGGCAGCCGTCCCTGGCACGGAACAGCCTCTTCCGTCAAACCAAGCTAAGGACTTGATACATGAAATCGAGAGTGCGCCTGAACATTTCGACAATGGTAGTGCTTTCCAAGAGACGAGCCACGTCGCAAATGACTTCGAAAACGGCTTCGACGATGAGGAACCGCAGGATGACCAGCACTATGTCGGCCGTGATGCTACCTTTACTGAGCAGGAGGACCTCGGTTCGCGCTATGAGGAAGGAGTTCCTCTCATTCCCCACTCCGAGTCCAATGGAGAAGTTTCGCAGCCTGAACAGAAACTTGCCGGCTTCGGAGACGAAGTGGCAGGTGAGGATGATTTCTTCAGCCAAATCCAGAACTCCAACAATGACGACTTCCCCGACTTTAGCGGAAACCACCCATTGGAGCGGAAATCCACAATGCAAGTCATGGGCGACATAAACACAAATACACTGTCGAGAGCTGATACGCTGGGCGAAATGCTTGAAGAGGATGAAGATGTTGATGAGCCCACCAAATCGACGGAGGAGCCTGCAGAGCCTATCCAGTCCGAAGATTCTGGAGCAAAGCCAGCTGACGATCTTGCTGCTAAATGGGAACAAGCTTTCGCGGATGATGATGGAGAAGACTTTCTTCTGGACGAGTCACTCGACGAGGCCGGCGAATCTAAGCCAGTCGATCCATCGGCATTCTTTGGTAGCGATGACGAGGGCTTCCTCGACGACGACGATGACGACCTGCCTGCCACTGCGGCCCCGGCGCCGGTCGTTCAATCCGCTAGACAACAGAACCGATATACTCCTACCGTTGCCTCTCACCAAGCATCTTCCTCCCCTTACGCGCCGACTGCGCCGGCAGTGCCGTCGCCCTACCAGCCTCAGAATGCGGCCACTCCATTTGCTCCAGCGGTGGCCCCTTACGCTGTCCAGCGCACTCAGTCAGCCACTCCTTATAGCGCGCAGCAAACGCGTCCTGAGCCTGCGAAAGCCCAGAGTTTTGCAGCGCAATCCAAAGGCGGGTATACGTCTCCTTACGATCTTCCCATGGAAGTCGTTGTTCCGAAAAAGAGGGCTAGCACCAACCAACTGCCGCAAAGCCCTTCAACGGGGCCATCGTCGGGGCCTCCTCCGCGTAGCTCTAGCATGCAAGCTCCCACACCACCGCCGCCACCAAGAGCTGCTACCTCGAGCGCCTCGCCCCCTACATCAAGTCACTCTGGGCAGCCTCCGCCGGCAGGAAAGCCCGTACCTATGCTTCGGAATAAGGACAGTTTCTTTGAGGAGCTGCCCATGGCTTCGAAACCACGATCGGCCTCTCGACAGAGCTACCGAGTAGGCTCTCCTGCTTTGGCTGGACCGCCTGAACCTCTTCAGCCTCAAAACCAGGCTCAGCTTGCTCCGTCACCATTGTCACCGCCCATGCTGTCGCCTCCTGGCATGAATCGTTCGCTTTCGGGTGGAATTCCACACTTGGTGCCTGGTGAGCGTACGAATCCCTATGCGCCTCAGTCGACGCAACAACAGGTCCCTGGGATTCCAGGCAATGCCAGGTACTCTCCTGCCCCTCCGTCGGCACCGAATACCAATGGGACGAACCGCCCGCCGTCCGCAAGCAGATATTCACCAGCGCCTACAGCCGCAAGGCCTCCCGTACCCGCTTTCCACGCGGCTACCACACCTCCCACTGTTCTGCCGCACTTGCCTAGAACGTCTAGTCCGTTGGCTCATTTTGAGGTCTCGCATGAGGCGGCTGCGACTAATGGGGATCACTATCAACCTGACCGTAGGTCTAGCTACAGCCTTGAGCCAAGGAGAGTTCCATCACTGCCTACGACTCGCGAGGTTGAGGAGGAGGACGATTCGAAGACTTCGTATGGAGCCCAGCCTGCAAACGGTGTGCCTGCTGAGTCCCGCTACAGCCCGGCGCCGCCAATGGTCGCGCGGCAGACACCGCCGCCATCATCACATGGCCCCCCTTTGCACTCGACTTTGTCACCTTCCAAGAGGTCCACGTCTAACTACCTGCCACAAGCCGCCCTTCATGATTCACCCCCCGACAACAGATATGCTCCGCCACCGAGGTCCCAGACCCAGTCGCCAGGATCCTCCCAAGGAGCACACCCGCCGTCCCAGCCCGTGCCTCGGCCGACTTCGGTCCATAGCCCAACATCCCCTCGAGCAACTAGGAGTTTCCAACCTGGCAATGCCCCTGTCTCTCGGCCCCGGGGTCCCTCACAAACCTTCAACTGGGTTGCGCCAACTGACGGTCGCGAAAATGATTCTCTGCAAAGATGGAAAGGCGCGCCAATCATCTCATGGGGTGTTGGCGGAACTATGGTAACTTCTTTCCCCAAGAATGTGCCGCGCTATGGTATGGGGCAAACCGCCCCCATGATCATTCGCAGCCCAGGAGAGGTATACGTTAAGCATATCAAGGACACTCAGCCGCTCGAAGAGAGGCTGGCAAAGTTCCCTGGGCCGCTGCGTGGAAAGTCAAAGAAGAAGGAAACAATCGCTTGGTTGAGCTCAGGCATAGACACACTGGAAAAGGAACTACCTGAAGTTTCTTTCCAACCTCAGCTTTCTCACGAGCATAAGCGTGCGATTGAGCGACTGCTGCTCTGGAAGATCTTGAGGGTTTTCGTCGAGCATGACGGCGTCTTGGAAGGCACCACCGCCGTGGACAAGGCCGTGCGAGATGTCTTGGCCCCCGGCGTCGATGCCAACGCCAACGAGGGTACGCTTGGCTATGGTGCTGGTCTAGGCGCCGACGCTCTCCAAGAATCATCTTCAACTCAGATGAAAGCAGAAGTGGTGGACTCATCTACCATGGATCAAATCCGGAAGCATCTCCTGGTTGGCGATCGCGAAAAAGCGGTATGGGAAGCAGCTGACAAGAGGCTTTGGGGCCATGCCATGTTGATCTCCAACACCGTATCCCCAGATCTTTACAAGCAAGTGGCCCAGGAATTCGTTAGAAAAGAGGTCAACTACCCCGGACACGCCAACGAGTCTATCGCTGCTCTTTACAAAGTTCTCTCGGGTAACTTTGACGATTGTGTTGACGAGCTAGTTCCAGCCCACGCTCGGGCTGGATTCCAGCTTGTCAATACAACCTCGGCCAGTGGTTCGAGCAAGGATGCCACCGAAGGACTCGACAAGTGGCGGGAGACTTTGGGATTAGTCCTGAGCAACCGCAGTACTGATGACATTCGTGCCTTGAATGCACTCGGCAACTTGTTATCTTCCTATGGACGGGCTGAAGCTGCACATATCTGCTTCTTGTTCGCTAGAAAGGCTACAGTCTTTGGAGGCCTTGACGACCCTGCCTCGAACTTTGTCCTCGTTGGTGCTGATCACAAGACTCAAGGAGAGCAATTTGCTAAGGAGACGGAGGCTCTACTATTAAGTGAGGTCTACGAGTACGGCCTGTCACTCGCGGGAGGCCCTACCTTGACTGTCGGTGTGCCACATTTGGCTGCGTACAAGCTCCAGCACGCAATGACTCTGGCTGAATATGGGCTTCGGGACAAGGCCTTGCAATACTGCGAGGCAATCGCCAGCTCCATCAACGCCCAAACCAAGAGGTCGAACTATCACCACCCGATTCTGGAGACTGCTGTAGAGAACTTGCGAACGAGGCTCAGGCAGGCTCCCAAGGAAGAATCCTTGTCCTGGATTTCCAAGCCTAGCATGAACAAGGTTTCGGATACAGTTTGGAGCCGATTTAACAAGTTTGTTGCTGGCGACGAGAACGACAGTTCTGCGGCCGGCGCATCTGGCGAGGGCGGTGCTGAATCTGGACCATTCGCTCGGCTGGCAGGAGGCACTCCCACCATCAGTAGATCACCTTCTGTGACAAACTTCGAGCCTATGTACGGAACCGGTGCGACCAGCCTCCCAGTCGGGTCACCCCCTGCGGCGGTTCCCATCCCTGCTACGAGAGCCGCCTCTCGATATGCGCCAGGCCCGTCCCAAACACCTCTGTCAAGCTCCTACGAACCTGGCGCTGGTTACGCACCCGGCCCGGCTTCAGTCGGCCGCTCATCCAACGAATATTCCCGCAGTCCCTATGAGCCACGAACGTCGATGGACTCCCAACCTGGGTATACCAATGGCGGCTACATGCCTCAGAATGCGACAGCGCCATCTCAAGGTTACACTCCACCTATGTATGGCGGTGGGCAAGACACAGCTGCATCCGCCCAGGTGTTATCAGGAGCCGTTCAAAACTCTCCTATGCAGTCGCCGACCAAGCCTGCGTACCAAGGATACGAGCCGTATGGCAGCCAAGGACCCCCCGTCCCGTCTGTGGAGGTTCAGAACCAAGAGGCGGCCGAAAATAGCCAGCAGCCGGACAACAACCTGGCCAACCCAGGCTACCAGCCGCCATCTTACGGATACGAGCCTCCGTCAATGTCAAACGACGAGCCTCAATCACAATCTGCAGAGCCCACCGAGGGCGATGGATACGAACCGCCTACGTTCCAGCCGTACGGCTACGAGCCCCCTTCGTACAATCCCGAGCCCGAACAGGATGATGAGGGAGAGTCAAGGCCGAAGCCCAAGAGTTTCATGGATGATGACGACGACGATGATATCCCCGCTCTCAAGGCACTTAAGCCCCAGGAGAAGGGGAAGTCTGAGAAGGACAAGGAGAACGAAGAAATGTTCAAGAAGGCGGCAGAAGAAGACGGTAAGCAAAGCAAAATCTTCCTCGCATGTTGGCAACACTAACACATAATAGCCAAGCGAGCGGCAGCACAGCAACAGTCCAAGAAGGGATGGGGCTTCGGCAGCTGGTTCGGAGGCAAGAAGGAAGCTAGCCCGGATCCTCAGCAGCAGGGCAACAAGCCCGTCAAGGCCAATCTTGGTGAATCCAGCAGCTTCGTGTACGACCCTGACCTGAAGCGCTGGGTGAACAAGAAGGGAGGGGCCGAAGCGACACAGGCAAAGACGGCAACACCACCGCCGCCAAAGGGCGCTCCAAGATCCAACACGGGAACGCCACCTCCGCCACGCACAATGACACCTCCAATGGGCCGCGCAAGTGCCCCTCCTGGAGGGCCGCCTGGTCCGGCACTCGCTCACGCTGCGTCCAACGAAAGTCTGGGCGTGCCACCGGGACCACGACCGCCGAGCATGATGCGTTCAGTGTCGAACAACAGCGTTGGAGGACCTCCCAGCGCTCCTCCCAGCCGACCGGCAACAAGTATGAGCAATGCCAGTAGCATCGACGACTTGATCAGCGCGGCTGGTCCCCGAAAGCCGGGTGCGAAGAAGGCGAAGAAGGGCGGGCGGTACGTGGACGTTATGGCCAAGTAAAGATGATACACGAAGATTCCAATTTCGAAATGCACAAGCGAGCGGGGCCGGCATACCTGAGCCAGCATCGATATGTTGTATTATAGAGTTTCACATATTTAAGCATTGTAATAGTTGTGAGGGACCTCGGTGCCAGGAGCGCCCTCTATGCGAAATGGACAACGAATCGTTTTTCTGTTACTTGGCTGCCGCCGAATGTACCTTCACCGTGATCCTGTGAAGATGGTTATCACCAGCCGCTTTCAGAACACAGTACGATTACACATGTGGTTTCGTAGGGTTGGGTCAAAATCGTCGAAATATTTCCAGTCGTCTCGTTAACCTTGTACTGGCGGTCTTGCATCTAATCTCCTCCAGTGACATATCGAGAACTCACCTTATCTGAAGTCGCATAGGCACCATCTCGAGTAAGGTAAGATGGGGTAGGTATCCGTACCTACCTTTGCTACGGTAAGAAAAGGTACCGGATTAACGGGTCTTGCAAGTTGCGGGTGGCAGGTGCAAGAGATGCAGGGTCCTGTAAGGATGCAGGCACGCCAGGGTGCAAGGATGACGATAAGAGGGTCTTATCAATAGACCATGTGATTGGCCGAGGGGGAAAAGACGGTAAGTCGGCGGTAGCCTGGAAGCCCCAAACCTTCACTTCAGGTTCCCGCCCCGGTCTATGGGTGCCCGCCGCTTGCCCTGTTCAGGTACAAACACAGCACTGTAACAACGGCGCTTCCACCTGAAGGGAACCCAAAACTGGTGACATCGAAACGGACCTGAGCTGATGCCCTGACGTTTTCTCTTTCCTCGACCCTTTTGTTCTTCTGGAATGTCACCAGTAGGCTTGAGCTTACTTCAGGTGCTCGGGGCATTTTGAAGGCCAATCGTTGAAGCCTGCACTTCATTGCCCTCTTTTGGTGTGCTTGTTGCATGAGCGAAACGTGCGTCTCAGCCTTTCTTACCTCTCTTCAACGTCAACCGACGGACCGACCTCACCTTCTGAGATACCCGTCATCGCCACCACTTGCTGCCTACTTACGTACCGACCCAACGACCTCACCTCTCCCACCTCCCACCTCGCCTCCCACCTCGCCCCTACATAATTCCTCCTGTCACGCCACACTCTCTACCTTTCGATTCCTCGGATTCTTAAGTTTTCTGCGCTTTTTGTCTGGTCAGCCCTCTTAAGCCCCGACGAACACCCAAAGTACTCGACGTACTCGACAATGATCGCATGCGCGTCGTGATAATCCCGACCAGCACCTTACGATGGACTATTCGCGGCTGAAAGCTGCCGCTTTGCAAGGCGGCGAGGAGGAGGAGGCCGTCACCGTCGACACCAGAGCCTTGATCGACAAGGTTCTTGCCAGATACTCGGGCGAATGGACCACGTTGCGGGAGCTGATTCAGAATGCCGCCGACGCCCAAGCAACAACCGTCAAGGTCAAGTGGGAAACGCTGCCCTCGACTTCAGTTCCGCTCCCCGCCACCACAAACCGATCCGAACTTCTGAAGCATGTTATCGCGAACCACACACTGCGTCGACTCGTTGTGGCGAACGATGGCCAACCCTTTACCAAGACCGACTGGGGAAGATTAAAGAGGATCGCAGAGGGAAACCCCGATGAAACAAAGATTGGTGCCTTTGGTGTCGGCTTCTACAGCGTCTTTGCCGACTGCGAAGAGCCCTTTGTGAGCTCTGGCAATGAGGCCATGGCATTCTACTGGAAAGGGAATGCACTCTTCACCAAGAAGTCCACTCTCCCCGAAGAACAGAGCAGCGGCGACACCACCTTTGTCCTCGACTACCGGAATAGCACCACTCCTCTACCGAACCTATTGTCTGTCAGTCAGTTTCTCGCAACCAGTTTGACATTTGTCGCCCTGCAGCATGTCGAGTTCTGGATCGACGACTACAAGATCTTAGATCTTCACAAGAAGACCTCGCCCAGTCTCGACGTACCCATTCCGAGAGATATTGAGACGCGGACGCGAGAGGGTCTGATGCAAGTCAAATCAGTGGAACGAACCAGCACTCAGATCGATGCCGCCGTTATGAGTGCCGCTGGCTGGAAGCCAAAGGCTGCGGCGGCAGCCAAGTCAGCCGACACATATGGTGCTGGATCCGAAGTGCCTTCACTAAGGAGCTTCTTCTCGAGGTTGACTTCCTCGGCATCGCAGGTCACTGTAAAGGGGAGACAGCAGAGAGAAGAGGCAGCTGCTCAGGAGGAGATTAGTGAGGACGTGACCAAACTCTCTACTTCAACCATCTTCTTGCGAGTGACAACCGCCTGGGTCAAGACCAGCGTATCAACTTCGTTCGCAACGGAATTGGAGCGCGCAACAAAGAAACCACCACCAAAGACCACGAAGCTAGCCATTCTCACCTCGTCCTATGATGAGACCATGGCTTCAGAGAGTTCACGCTCCGCCACCATCTCAAAGTCTGTGGACGTGTTTGCTTCAGTTTTGCCCAGCAAGAAGCCCGGGGGCCGCATCTTTATCGGGTTTCCCACAACGCAGACAACCGGTGCCGGCATGCATATCTCGGCGCAATCAGTCATTCCTACGGTTGAGCGTGAGGCTATTGACCTGAATGCACGATGGGTGAGGACATGGAACATCGAGATGCTCCGGGCGGCCGGTATCATGACAAGACTTGCTTTCATTAACGAGATGAGCGACCTCGACTCCAAAGTCAAGAATATGGTTGGAGCTGCGACAAAAATTGGCGCAGAAGATCTCGCCAAGCTTTTACCTGAAGCACTGCACATCCTGAAGACATTCACTTTCGCTGATTCTACACCAAGCGGTCAAGTGTCCCAGATTCTCGAGGAAGCGTTCTGGACAGCCTTCAAGAAGGCTTCTATTGAAATCTTTTCCTCCAGAGGTGTTTTGTCCAGCACGAAGGTCCGACTTGGCTCTGACGAGCTCAGCAAGTTCGTCGATACCATCCCTGTCGTACCTCGAGAGCTCATGGAGAATGCTTTCGTTAGGAAGCTGATGGACTTTGGGCTCATCAGCCCAATCACTGTTGATGACGTACGGACAGAGCTGGAAACCAAGGCAATGAACAAAGAGCAGCTCATCAATTTCATTGCCTGGGCCGGCAAAAAGGCACTTAGCGGAGAACTGGATCCTCCCAGCAAAGCTCGCCTTCTGGATGTAGCGGTTGCCACGGTCACTGAAGATGGCAGCGACCAAGGCGATATCATTGCTCTTGGTTCCATTACCAACTATCAGTTGCCGAACAAGATTCCAGCGAATCTTCCAATTCCTCCGCGCACTATACCTATGGCTTACACCAACCATTGTTCTGCTGCCGAGCTGCAAGCGCTTGGCTGGGAGCCCCTGGAGGTCGTGCCATGGCTGCGTTTTCTGCTAGAGTTGGGGTCAAGCAGGTCTGACGAGTCAAATCTGAAAAAATCCCCAAAGTTTGCCGTTCAGGTTCTTACGGTACTCTCCAAGAACTGGGACAACATCAGCCAAAGTTCCAAGTCAGTGATTATCACTCTGCTTCAGGCTCATACAGTTATGCCGACAAAGACGGGCATGAAGAAGCCAACCGACTCATTCTTCCCCACTGTCAAGCTTTTTGATGATCTGCCCATCATCCAAGGCTGTCAAGGCCTGAAAGACAAGTTTCTTTCGGCAATTGGAGTGCGCAAGACGGTCGACCTTGACACCATCTTTTCGAGATTACTGAGCCCCTCGGCTGAGGGTGCGCAGAGGTGGAGTCACATGGAGCTCATCAAATATCTCGCCTCAGTCAAGGATGACATTCCCGCCGCCGACATGACGAAGCTTAAGGATACTCGTTTCTGTCCGGCAGAAGATGGAGCGAAAGGAATGGAGCCGACCAAGGGCACAACTGAGCTGTACAAGGTCTCGGAGCTTTTCGAGCCAAAGGATACACTTAGAACTCTTCGGCTGCCTGTGTTACAGTGGCCTGGCCCGCCCGGAAGCTATAGAGCCAACAGCCCCGAGGGCCGATTCCTGGCCATCCTAGGCCTGCGACCATACCCTTCTGTGATTGAAATGGTCAACATGATGGCTTCTACGGATGCTGAGCTCAGAACGTCCGCTATGACCTATTTCATTGCAAACCATCACCTCAACGGTTATGGAGCCTTCAATCTCGCCGATAGTCGCAAGGCTTTCTTGCCCATTCAGAAGGGCAGCAAGTTGGTCACGCCTTCGGCTTGCTTCACCAACGAGCGTGCCGCAATCCTGGGTTTCGACATCTTGAAGAAAGATCTTCACGTGCATGCCAACAAGTTTGGGGTGGTTAGAGACCCGCCTATTACGGAGTGTGTGTCTCGTCTGCTGGCCAAGCCACCTCAGGATCAACAAATGGCCATCACTCTCTTTGAGTATTTCGCCCTTCGTAACAGCGATCTTGGAGAAGGCAGCTTATCCAAGCTGCGTGATGCACCCATTGTTCCCGTTACACGACAGGCTCGCGATCCAGGCGAGAAGAGTGGCTCGTATGTCACCCACCTCAGTCCCAAGCGATGCTACCTGGGCACTTCGGCGACATACGGTAACATTTTCGATTTTGTCGACTTCGGGACGAATGCGAACACATTCCTCTACAAGTGTGGAGCAAAGGAGGAACCAAGCAAGCCAGAGATAGCAAATTTAGCTTGCACCGAACCTGCACGACTTCTCAGCATTCTTCAGAGCCCGGATAAGTACCTCGCTCTTCTGAAGTCTTTAGCAGAGAACATGCCGACGTTGAAGAGAGACAAAGAGCTTATTCGCAAGATGAAAAGTTCTCCCTTCCTACTCGCAGCCAAGGAGATCCCATCGCCGCCATCCAAGGAAAAGCTTATTGAAGTGGACGACGACGATGCTCCTATCAAGCAGTACCAGCTGGCCACTGCGAATCGAATCGTCATCTTGGACGACATCATCAGCTACCGCTTGTTCAAGGACTACCTGATCACTGCGCCCGAAGAGGAAGTGCTGGAGGAATTCTATCATCAGCTTGGCGCTCAGACGTTGAGCTC